TCTACCAGCTGCTCCTTGGAAACTGTATGGGGCAGCTCTACTCTGTCCTACAGGGTTGCTGAGTCGGAATCGATGGCAACGGATTTATCCAATGAGGGAGGGAATGAAAACAAAACAAAACAAAAAATGCACACTTACAGTTGAAAAAACTATATGCACATTTACTCTAGAGTCAATCAGCAACAGAACAAGCAACATTCTGAACACATAACGGTAGCTTTCTGGATACTGGAGAAGGCATGCTACCATGGCTAAAAACAGGTGCCATGGTGGCAGGACAGGAGGACGCGAGCTTGCTTGTATTCCAGGCTCTCTCATTTTCATGTATCAGAAGGCTTTGTATAATCAAGGTCATTTCCAAAAACAACACTGAAAGTGAGAATTTCTAGTGGAATTTTTTAAAGACTTAATAAAGAGAATGGGTTGCGTAGTTCACCAAGACCCATTGAGGCAGTGTGATTTTGTCTGTGGGAAGAAAGGGCCATCTTCTCCTCCCACTTTTAATTACTGTATATATATACCGGGATTATTCATAGGGTGGATGGTGTGTATATAAATTGGTTAAAGCACAAAGTTGTTGTTAGTTGCCGTCGAGTCAGTCAGGTCTCCACTTTTTCAAAGTAGAAAAGGCATCTGGACACAACACAGAAGTACTGGAGACACAGTGGTCAAAGATGCTTCACTTAATGACTCACTTTTTTTTTCTTTTTTGAAAAATTTAGTAAATCATCATCAACAGGGGCAGACTTAAAAGAAGAGTGAAAGGAATATTATTTTACCAGGTTGTTTTTTTTAGAGAATCAGGTTATGATCAAAATGATGGCATAACTATTAGTGATCTGTAGAATTTTGACTTAAAAAAATGCTTTTGAGAACAAAATCACCTGGGCTATTTATAATATGTGAGTGTCCATGTCCTTCTGATTACCAGACACAAACAGATAAACCTGGACAGCACCAACTGAGTTTTACCATTATTAGGATATATAAATGAAAATAACAACATACAAGATGATTCACAATTAAGTCAAAAAAAATTTTTTTTATTGTGCTGTAAGTGAAAGTTTACAGTTCAAGGTTAGTTTCTCATACAAAAATTTATATACACATCGGTATGTAACCCTAGTTGCTCTCCCTATAATGTGACAGCACACTCCTCCTTTCCACCCCAGATTTCCCATGTCCATTCAGCCAGCTCCCATCCTTTTCTGCCTTCTCATCTCACCTCTGGACAGGAGCTGCCCATTTAGTCTCATGTATCTACTTGAGCTAAGTAGCACACTCTTCATAAGTATCATTTTATGTCTTATAGCTCAGTCTAATCTTTGTCTGAAGAGTTGGCTTTGGGAATGGTTTTAGTTTTGGGCTAACAGACCAGGGGCCATGTCTTCCGGGGTCCCTCCAGTCTCAGTCAAACCATTAAGTCTCGTCTACAATTAGGTCAAAATTTTTTTATCCTGACTCCATGAATTTATGAATAGAAATGAGTTACATAACATAAGGAAAAGACACCATAAGAATGTAGCTGGGATGGTTTCCAAGAATTGAAAAACGAATACCTGGAAAATACTTTGGAGTGTTGCGGAGTATAGGAAGGAAACAAACCAAAAAACCAAACCCGTTGCCACCAAGCCAATTCCGATTCATAGTGACCCTATAGGACAGAGCAGAACTTCCCTTAAGGTTTCTAAAATGAGCTCTTAACCACTATGCCACCAGGGCTCCATAAGAAGGAAAGTATCTTAAATATTTACAAGCTTGAAAAGTTAATAACAGTAATAGCATTTCAAGTTTACTTAAGATTGGTAATTTCTATTCATCAAGATAAAAAAAGCTGTTGCCATTGAGTTAATTCTGACTTCTAGCGACCCTATAGGACAGAGTAGAACTATAGGGTTTCCAGTTGGTGGATTTGAACTGCTGACCTTTTGGTTAGCAGCCAAACACTTAACCACTGCCCCACCAGGGCCCCAGTATATGGTTAATCATACCTCAAATCCATTGCTGTTGAGTCAATTTCAACTCATAGCAACCCTACAGAACACAGTAGAACTGCCCCATAGGGTTTCCAAGGCTGTAAATCTTTACAGAAGCAGATTGCCACATCTTTCTCCCGCAGAGCGGCTGGTGAGTCCGAACTGCTGACCTTTAGATTAGCAGCTGAGTGCTTAACCACTGTGCCACCAGGGCTCCATTTTACTTATTAAATTATAGGTTAAAACATCGAATGCATAGAAAGAGCATTACGACTGATATCTCTTATTTTTTTTCCTGATTCTAGAAAGGTAATAATAATAATAAAAAAAAAACACCCACAAATCTGTTGCTGTGGAATCAATTCCAACTCATGGTAACCCTATAGGACAGAGTAGAACTGCCCCATAGGGTTTCCAAGGAGCAGCTGGTGGATTTGAACTGCCGACCTTCTGGTTAGCAGCCACTGTCTTAACTACTGTGCCACGAGGGTTCCAGAAAGGTAATACCCAAGTTTCTAAGGGCAAGGTACATACTGAATATTTGCCATTATTTTGGCCATTCAGCATCTGAAACCCCTTCTTATGTTAGGAGAATTCCCTTCTTTTGTGTTTAGGAAGTGGAGGCTGAAAAATCCCAGATACTTTCTTTCCCATGCTTCCTTGCAGTAAATGTGCAGATGTATGACTTGAACTTTACCATTCAGATCCACCTGTGCCAAATTTTGACCTGGGAGCTAGTAATCAAAAATAAAAAACAAACAAACAAACAAAAACCCCAAACCCAAACCAATAACAACTAACCCTAGAAATGATGGAGCTTGCTCTTTCTGAAGAGTCAACTGCAGTGGTTGCTGTGAAGTTCGTGGTACACACCCAGCGGCAGTGCTGTGGGGGGTGGCTGTTGTTAGATTTCATTCCCTGCTGAGAGTCACGCAGTATCTTTTTAATTAACTCCTTATCTGATTTAAAAAAGGTAATAACTATTAGTTATAGAAAACTCAGAAAATATAGAAAGATTGTGTTTCCATCAGCATGTATGTGTATTTATATACATGTGCACACATGCATACAGGTATTGTTCTCTTGATGAAAACTGGATCATACTCTATGTAGTTTTATGTCCTGCCCCGTTAAGGATATTTTCTATGATATTCTTTGAAAATATGTTTTTAGACAGCTACATCATTTAATCATTTTCCTACTATCCAATATTTAGATTCTCTAATATTTTGTTTTCATAAAGCCTCAAAGACAATTGGTTTTGGTGTTTAGTATATATACTACATATGACAAATTTAGTACCAAAGATAAAGGTATATAAATCTTTGACCATATGTCTATTATTGCTTTAGGATAAATTCCTAGAGGCAGATTACTAATTCAGTGAAATTTGAACCTTTTTTAAGGCTGTTAATACAGTTATAAAATTTGCTCTCCAGAGGTGGCTGACTTTCTCTTGAATCTCTAATGGGCTTTGAATATTGACACAGAACTTTTGTGAAATTTGAATGCCAGATATGACAGCATTTTTAAAAGTGAATATGGCACTTATTAGGAGACTATACTACTTGGCTGACACGGCTATGTGCTTTAGAGACATTATCACATTTAATCCTCGCATTGACACTTTTGTAGATACTTTCAGCCTCATCAATAAAATGAGGGAAAAAGGGCAAATGTCTTGCCTAAGGCCATACAGCTCATAAGACATGGAGCCAGGAACCAAACATTGGCTTCTGATGTTAAAGTTCATTTTCTTTTCCTTATACCATTCTAACCCAAGAGCCTAAAATATTTTTGAGTCTTGAAATGAACAGACAGGAGGAAAGAAGTATGAAGTGAGTTGGAAGTAACAGAGAGCAGGTGGGCAGTTACAAAGCGTATTAAGGCTTAGTTAAAAGAACAAACAGACAAAACACAATGTTAGCAGGGCATTTTAACCAATGAGCATTTATTAAAAGCCAGTGGTGCACCAGGCACAGTTCTTGCCCAGTAGGCTAACAAATAAAAACGATGTAACCAATTCACGTATTAGCTTATCTGATTAAACAAAATACATTTCATAGAAATGATTATAAAATGCATTGCAGATAGAAAACAGAATATCTTTTTATACATACAGATTTTATGGTACCCTAAATAATTAATAAAAACCAGCCAACCCACATGGTAAATAGAAGTTAGCAAACCACCAGTTATTTATTTTAGGCAGCAAAGGAGAAAAACATGCTATCATTGTACTGAAATGGATTTCAGCATTTCATACAGACATCCTAACACTGCTAACATAGTCCACCTATAATCATAAAAAATTCAGTGTTTTTCGTCCTTTATTCAATCACTATTATACTTTTTGGTTTAAATATTAGTTTTGGTTTCAATGTAAGTTTAATTTAGTACTTCAGTTCCATGCCTCAGATTCCTGACCTGGGGTAGGTGAGAATCACTCCAATTAGGTATTAGTCATAGGAACAAGACAAAACAAAACATAAATGGGATAGTTTAATTCACTGATATTCTTGCCAATAGTGAACTGAGAAGATTTAAACCACAAAATAACAGCAGGAGGGGGAAAATGTGGATGTTATTTGACACAAGCCTGCCCATTAGAATAACTTACTGCTTTTTCTGGAGAGTCATAGCTACTTCTTTAAAGGACCTTAACAGGTACATGGGTACATTATATATCCCTTAGTTTGAAAGTCAGTTATGAGGGGTGGGAAGAGGGAAAAAGAGGGTGGCAAAGACTGAAAAGGGAGGGAGTGGAGTGTGTTTGCTGACACCTTCTTCCATAATTACAAAACCATAATCACCCAAGAGTGTCCACTGGGACCTTCCCGGAGACTTCCAGAAAACTGCTTTCTTCAGGCAGCAGCAGTGAAAACGTCCTCAGAGAGTCAAGGTCAGCATTTATTGCACAGGAACCAAGATTATCCTCCTCCTTCCCCCCCTTTTCCTGAGCTGGAGACCTCCAAGTGCAAATGTGGCTCTGGATTCCCGGCCATGAGCTCCTCCGACCAGCAGGGGGCTCTCCACCAGAACGTCTCAGGGAGCACCTTCTTCAAAGGGAAGTGTGAGGTATTATGTTGGCCCAAGCAACCAGGTCGGTCAGTCCCCATTCTCGAGCAGCTTTTGTAAGTTGTTTTGTATCTTGAAATAATAAAAGAGAAGTTCCTATTATTAAATAAAATGGAGTAGACTAAGGACATATTTGCTATGGCCTATACAATGCTTATGATTAATTTACTCTGCCTTAAATAAAAAGCTACACATGGGTTAAATTTAGGTGCAACAAATAAATACTTTCCAATGGAACAGAACTCTGATAATCCACTTTAAAAATAAAAAAAAGATGGGTTGGGAAAAAAAAAAAGAGTTGCACAGAGATGAAAATGTCAGTAGACAGAAAAATGAGACAAGAAAAAGAACAAAGCATAAACAACACCAGGTGTGATGCAAATCCACTCAGCAAACCAAAAAAACAAAAAACAACATTGCCGTTGAGTTGATTCTGACTCATAGCAACTCTGCAGGACAGAGTAGAACTGCCCCATAGGGTTTCCAAGGAGCGGCTGGTGGATTCGAACTGCCGTCCTGTTGGTTAGCAGCTATAACTCACTGTAGCTCTTAATCACCTGTGAAATTGGTCTTTACAGAGCCCATTCAATGGTTTTAATCAAACACCACATAATGTCTCCTATTAGACATTATACATTTCTCCGTAAGATTCTGAATTTTGTAGGGATAGGGATTTCATCATTATCTTTAGATCTCAAGAATATAGCCCAGTGTTGGGAATTTAAAATGTGCTCAGTAGATGTTTGTTGAATAAACAAACTTTAAAGAATTCAGAGTAAGGAATTCTTAGCAACTAGTATTGGGATCCATCACCCGTCTGCCAGTTTGTTGTACTGTGATGGCTTGCACGTTGCTGTTCTGCTGGAAGCTATGCCACTGGTATTTCTAACACCAGCAGGGTCACCTATAGTGGTCAGGTTTCAGAGGAGCTTCCAGATTAAGATAGATTGGGAAAAAAGGCCTGGTGATCTAATTCTGAAAATCAGCAATGAAAGCCTTATGGATCACAACAGAACATTGTCTGACTAGCTTGCTGTGAACACGTCATCAGGATGGAGCAATCGCTGAAGGAGGACATTGTGTTTGGTGAAGTGGAGGGCCCGTGAGGGTAAGGGAGATCCTCAGTGAGACCGGGAGGCACAACAGCCACAATGATGGACTCGAACACGCCAGAGATGGTGAGAATGACGCAGGACCAGGCAACATTTCGTTCTGTTGTACCTAAGGTTGCCCTGAGTCGGAACTGATTATCTGTCCATCTGTCTGTCTGTCCTTTCATCCACTCATCCATCTATCTATCTAATATTGTGATCGAAGTAGGGAACCCCTTGAATGCTAAAGAAAGGGAATATATTCTTCTTTTGAAGGGACAGTCTGGAATACCCTACAGGCATACACAGGATAAATGATGAGGAAGGGGATTTAATACACACGTGCCGGGCCCTTCATGCATGCTCACCGTAACCACATGACCCCACTGAGGTTTTACACATGACACTGAGGGCCAGGAGGTTAAGTAACATGACCAGTTACCCAGGTAGTAAGTGGCAGAGTAGGGATGTGAACAAGTATGTGCTCTTTCTACTAAACCACTCCACCACTAATGCCATTTGAAATACTAAGGAAGCAATTCTTTACTTCTTCACCCAGAAGGGGCTGCCTTCTTCTCCCGCATTCCTACTTCATGTCTTCCCCACCCATTCCTCAGGACCAACGTGAACTAGGAAAACAGGAGTGGGAAGTAGAAAAGAAATTGAAACACAGGACTACTACCCAAAATATGTAAAACCCACCTACAAAACACAAAAAATCCAAAAGTAAAACAAAGGTCGTAAATGGCACTTTACAGGAGAAAACACAAATGACCAATAAATATATGAAAAAATACTCAACCTCAGTAATAATCAAGAAAATGCAAATAAAAAATATGAGATCTTTTCACACTATCAGACTGGTAGTGGGTGACCTGAATGAAGTAGGATGGTGCCAGTGGAAGCAGAATATTGAGGAGACATTTGAAGATAGACTTCACAGGATTTACCTACTAATTTGTCAATCAGTGGCAAGTGAAAAAGGGAGGAGGAGTTAAAAATTATTCTTAGAACAGGCAATGATGACATGAATAGAAATAGGGAAGTTACAAACAGGGAAAGATCATGAGGTTTAGACATGCTCACTTCCTGAAGCAGAGCAGACAGAATTGTTGGTACTGAGTAAAAGGAGCTGAGACATGTCTCAAACTTTTCCACAGCATGCAGCTACTATTTTACCACCAAGCTCGGCTGCATTATTGCCAGAGTGCCTCTGGGGAAAGGGCAGACCAATCAAAAAGAACATGGGTATGGCCTGGTGATTGTTTTTATACTTAGATTTCTTTGAGCAATGTGTGCAACTTACAACTTTTTAGAACTTTAGCATATGCATTTTGACCCCAAGTCTACTCTTGCACTGATTCCACTTTGGGACAAAGGTGGTCTCCCCTGGTACCACAGGCTTCTCTTGCCGAGCAGCTGGGCTCTGTCTGAAACTGTGCACAACACTTGGCCAGCTATCTGTCCCCTGTGAACAAGCTCTTCTGTTTTCTGTTCCCTAATTACTGGGCCTGGTGGGACAGTGGGAAGAAACACAGAAGAAGGTGCCAGGATTCCATGCACTTCCAACCCAAAGGGTTGAACAGATTTGAAAATTACTACTACCCCATTCTTTAGGTTAGCAAGAAAGCCAAATGTTTGTAAGCAACTCATTAAAAAAAAAAAAAAAAAAAAACTTCAATTCTCAGAATTTAACATTTTAGAAAAGAAAAGAAATTCTAGTAGTTAACCCATACCTTCTCTTGGTTGATTTTGGATTTAAAATAGAAAAAAATTCTAAGTTTGCCCACAGATGCAATGATTCAATATGAATTCCTTCATGACTTGGTTTAGAACACAAATTTGGAAACTCCTTGGCTCTCAATATTTCAGTTGTTAAATGTCAGATAACATTTAGTGTAGCAGACCAAAAATAATTTTACTCATTTGTATTTCATCTTTCTTCCCAAGTAAGCATAGCTGCATTATAATGTTCCACTTCCAGTTACTGTTGATTCTTACTCATGGCAACCCCATGTATTAGGGTACAACTGTGCTCTATAGGGTTTTCAATAGCTGATTTCTTGGAAGTAGGTTAGTAGGTCTTTCTTCTGAGTGCCTCTGGGTGGACTTGAACCTCCAACTTTTTGGTGAGCAGCTGAGCGCATTAACTACCTGCACCACCCAAGGACTGCACTATAATGTAAAGCTACCAAATACTGGGCATTTGTGGTAACAGTTCCAATTGAACACATGATTCACTACACCCTGCCTTAAGGATTAGGGTAAAAACAAAGTAGTCGCCAGATGGGAAAGAACAGAAATGTTGAAAAGAAAAGAAAATAAGAAATGTTAGTAACGTTTAACTTTTGGGATATTCCTAATTTTCCTATCTTCTTCTCCTTGTTCACTCTCCAACTGACTTCTAAGAATGCCACAAGTCTAAGGACAGGCTTCTCAAGTTGCCCTGTAGGAAGATATTTTTAGGGATAAAGGTGCATCAGTAACCTTATCAGCAAGGCCTACGACTGGATTCTGAGAAGCAGTAAATCAGAGGGCTTCCAAGTGTAACTTTGGAGTGAGACCTGGTTCAAATTCCAGGCAGGTCCAATGTTCTACGTGTGTCAGCCGGAGCAAGTAAAGTTTGAAACTTTCATTCTTCCTCTACCAGATAGGGACAATTACGCCTGCCTCCCAGGGTTACAACCAGGATTGAATGCAATATTTTACATATGGTAAAAAACCGCTTGTGTTGAATTGGGGCGGCCCTCTCTGGTCGGGGCCAGTGGTCTCCAGTCCACACCCTCCTGTCTCCCAACACTGTGCCCCAGTGTCAGCAGCTATCTGCCACTGGGTACTGCGGTACAGAGTAATACTTCTAATCAAGAAGGAACAACAAGAGACCAACAAGACTGCGTATTTCAAGGAAAATGAGATTAAAACTTATTTCTTTGTGGAAATAAAAAATATTCTTCTCTATTACTATAAGGGGTAGAATTCTTGCCTTCCTTGTGGGAGACCTGGTTTTGATTTCTAGTTGATACAACTCAAGTGCAGCCACCATCTGTCTGCCAGCTGAGGTTTGAGTGTTGCTGCGATGAACAGGTTTCAGTAGAGCTTCCATTCTAAAACAGACTAGGAAGAAATGGCTGGCAACCTATTTCCAAAAATTAGCCAATGAAAACCCTGTGGATCATAAGGGTCCGATCCCATTGTGCATGGGGTTGCCAGGAGTCAGGCACCAACCTGATGGCAGCTAACAACAGCAACAATAGCAACAACATATTTACTATGCAGTCCCCTAGCCTGGGCATTTAGGTTGCTGCCTGCACACTAAAGACGTTTGAGTGTACAACCCTTGACCTAAGGCGATTGTCAGGCATTACTGCTATTGTCTCCATACACGGGAAAGACATCAGTCACCTTTTCCAATTTCATTATGTTAGTTGTAAGCTCTTGGCAGAGGACCTCCACATTTAATTGTACTTGTGACCCCAGGCCAGACGGTGCTGTCTGTCTGTAAGAACAAAGAGAAATTATTATGGGCAGGCATGGCAAAGGAAGAAGTAGAATGAACACATTTTAAATTTATTTGAACAGAAAATAGGTCATAACAGAAAGCAGTAAGCAGTTCGCTTATTAACACCTGAAAAGCACACTGCGGTAATCCACACACTCCAGATTAGACGTTTAGGGGACTTGTTCTTAAGAGCTCAACTGGAAACCCTTTAGGCTATTTTTATTTAAGTGGGCATGTTGGTGGCTGGGTTTCCAAACAAAAATCACACAACTATTTTCAAGCACATGGTTTCTTAAGCCCCCTTTTACTAACCTCTAACATCCTCTCTATTCCCACCACAGCATAAATTTGCAAGAATTATTGCTCTTTTCTGTCATATACAGATTTTTTTCATGGGAGAAGGAGCCATTTACACTAAAACCTTCTGAATGCTTAGGACTGTTTTTATTTAATTAGTCAATATTCTATTGAGTGTGAGATTTTTGTAGTTCCTTCTTTGAGACTTGCCTACAAATGTAATTGCCTTTGTCTTGTAACCTCACAGATGTACTCATTATTTACCATTTGACTATGGCATGGGTTCTTCCTCTGGGGTGCACTGGGACCCTGTGCCGGCTAAAACTTGTAGGAAATGTGGAAGCGTGTGTATACTTTCCTGCAGAGATAGTCTAAAGTTGTTGGCAAGAGTTTCATGTGAAGGTTAAGAACCATGGATCTGTATCTTCTCTGTATTTCTTGGTTGTAATTTAATTTTAGCTGCCAAGTTTTTGGATGGCAGTAACTGGTCTAATTTATTTTACATAGGTACACTTTTGAGATTCAGGCACTTGGTAAATTATGGATGATTATCTAAATTTTAAGAAGGCAATCAGAATGTTTTTCTATTTATTAGTACTGAAACAAATAGTGCTTTCTTTATCCTAACCCATACTATCAAAAGTGTAGACCCAATAAGGAAACTGAATCTAAATCCTTTGTTTTCTAGGTTAGGGATTTGAGGCCCAGAAAACTGATTTGTCAACATGAGATTCTGAGTGGCATTATATTCTCATCCTGGGCTAGGAATCTGAGAGTGCAGTCCCATTTAGGATTCTGCGATCTACGGGCTGCTAAAGTGTTAACAAGGTGCGTACAATGTACGGCCTCAAAAGGATGGCTCATCAGTAGCGGAAGACTTAGATTACACCTGTGGATTCAGCCACCTAGACAGCACAGATGAATTACCCTTGGAGAAATAAAACACTGGGGAAGTTCAGGTCCAGTAAAAGTGGTTTATTAGCAGACCTGCCCATCCTGGGTGTTCCCCAGCCGCATATCATACGTGGTCTTTGCGATTTTTCCTTTATATGACTATTTTTCAGACTGTACTTCCTCCTTGGTTGATTATTTGAAGGGTAGAAAGAACATTCCATTTGCTTCTGTTAGTGGCACTGCCCTGTTATCATCACCAAATTAATTAAATGTTAACAGGACACAAGTACATTTCCCTAATAAAATCCACTCCTTATCTGCAAATGGGACTAATAGTCTGCTATAATCTAGAGTCACTTCCTATCTCTATTAACATTTGGAAAAAGATGGGAAAGAATAAGGGTAAAGTATGAATCTATTCCAAAGCATTCATTAAGCTTCTATATTTTATTGGCTCAAATGTACCTTTATAGTTAAAAAATAACCTGTACACCAATATATATGTAAGCCACAGAACAAGAACTCTAGTAAGTCTTACAGAATAAAGAAAGGCCCTAGAATGGTATAACACAGGGGTTCTCAAAGTGTGGTCCTCAGTCCAGCACCATCAATGTCACCTGGGAGCTTGCTAGAAATGTACCCCAGACCTACTGAATCAGAAACTAAAACTCTGGGGCCCAGTGATCTGTGTTTTAACAAGCCCTTCAGGTGATCATGATGCACACTGAAGTTTGAGAAACACTGATAGGCTGGGAAGCTCAGAGTCTTTATAGTCATATAGACCTGCATTTGAATCCTGATTCTATTATGAACTATAAGACATTAAGGTAATTACTTCTCCAAGTCTGTTTCCTCATCTGTAAAATGGGAATAACAGTTATCTTAAAAGGTTATGGGGAAGATATAATGAGGGAAGATTTTATATATTCGTGTATGTATGTATCCATTCTAATACAGTTTCTAGCACATGGTAGATACTCTGTAAAGAAATACCTTTAGGCAATGTGTCAAAATCCTCATGTAAATGGATTTAAAGGAAAGAGCTCATGTCTGAATAGATTTGATTAGATCAGGCATGTTAAACAATGTCGGAAGGTTGGGCTTTACTTATTATAATACTAACACAATTATTTTTAAAAAAGTACATAGTCTAAGAAATAAAAAAAATGACTATGGTATATTTGTTACAACTGATTACTCAATATTGATACATGATTAATTACAGTCCATAGTCTACATTAGGGAACATCAATTGTAACAAATGTGCCACACTAATAATGCAAGATGTTAATAATAGCAGAAACTGCAGCAGGGAGAGGGGGTATATGGGAACTCTCTGTACTTTCTGTACAATTTTTCTGTAAACCTAGAACTGCTCTAAAAATACTGTGTATCAAAAGCTTAAGAAAAATGACTGTGATGGAATATTTTCACAGGCACATTCAACTAATGACTAGTCACATGGATCTTTACAGTGGTCAAGCGTTTTGCAAATAAATGAGCTCATATAAAGAATTATACATGATGAAAGTGCTGAGTTACTTGAATTTCTTCTTTTCTATGAATGTTTTTACTCCGTGCCATTTTTCTAAGATAAATGTGTATATTTTAATAAATGGGCCAAGGTCACAACTGAGTCTTAGGATAACAGAGCAAGATAATATAAAATCAGGCTTGCTTCTTGCCATGTCATTGGCAACACTATAGCAGCTCAAGAATAGTGCAGGGTCAGGTCATTCATTTCTACGACCCTCCTACCTCTTTACTCCCTGAATATACACTTAACAAAATGTCTCATACAGAATCTATCTTCAATTAATGGTTGCTAAGAATCATGATAAATTCAAGTGAAATATTATACTAATCTGACTAGGAAAGAAATGATAGCACTGGAGGGGACTGTCTTACTCAGTACGATGGGTGTCCACAATGGAAGTTAGTGATCCCAGCTGCTCCTCCAGAGTATTAATTCTGTATCTCATGTAGAAGGTCGAGATGATTAGTGCACAGACACTGGGAGGGTATAAAAAACATTCTCAGTAGGTTAATGACCAGGACTTGATGTTAATAAAACAATAAATGCACAGCCATTAGAGGCAAGGCATTTTCCAAAATAACTTGGTTAATAAGACTTTAAAAAGGTCTTATTTCAAAGGCTGCTGTTTGTCACAAAACCTTAAAGCTGCAAGGGGACTTAAAATCCTCTAGCCCAAATCCCTCATTTTATAAATAATGGCCATTCTAATATGATTGTTCAAGGTCAGACCCAAGCTGGAGTACCAAGTCAGTGTTCCTCATCCCATGCAGGACTGTCTCCCTCTGCTAGAAGGGATGCCAGCAAGTGCCCAGCCTTGTTCTCTGGTGACTCACAAATGCCCTACTCTATCTGGAAACTGGGCATATGCTGCTTGGTTGTGAGGAATAGCTCAGAACTGGGTCAGGCTATTTTCAGAAGAATAATTGGTTACAGACTGGAAGCTGATGGGGAAGTTTAACAAGTCAGTGCCTAAGTTCTCAGGAAAGGAGATGACATTTTAAAGTTGTTTTGGCCTCTATCCAAGGGACATATGATAGGTGGGACAATAAATAACAAGGGGGAAAACGCTTCATAATTCACAGAGCAATTTCCCAATTAATTGTATTGACTCAGAACTTAGTCCTCTGCTGGATCTGGCACGATCATTTTCCTTTTCCATCCTCCCTTCTCACTATTTCCTTAAACAAGAGGAAAATGAATATGAAAATGTGACCTAAGCTTACCAGAGTAAAGTGCTGAAGTAGGAGGCAAAAATTGTCAAAGAAAATATCTGGATCACATTAAAGACAAGTGAGATTTGCAATGTCTCTTGGCAACATGAAGAGAATAAATTATCCCTTTAGAGAACTGAATCACTTTCTTAAGTCACTAATAGTAAATTCATTTACTTACACAATTGCATATACTATAAGAATATGGTGGAGAGTCAGACATTTCTGAGACTTTACTTTGTGTAATATTCCAACGGTTTCTGACTGACCTGTTGGGTATACAAAAAGAGACAGTTTTAAAGCCGTAGCACACCTACTTCATGCAACAATACCCCTGTGGGGAAGAGGCATTTGAGAGAGAGACTTAACCCTAGATAAGGAAAATTAGGGAAAAAAAAATTAACTAAAAGCTTCCAGTTAGCCAATAATTATAAAATTCCTTCACCATTCATTCAGTAAATATTTACTGAGCGCCTTCTTTGTGTCAAGCATTGTGTAGGAGTCAATGGTGAACAATATAGACACTATTCTTGCTTTCATACCAGTATAACTGGTAACCATTATTAGAATAATTAGTAAAAAGGAAATAATTCAATACTTTGAATTTTACCAGCAATTTTTGAATTATAATCTCAAAGTATTCAGAATAATGAAGTGACTCCCATGAAGGCTATTCACCTTTGTATTCCCAATAGTAAAGCACTGGGTACTGTTTGGTGAATGAATAAATGAACTAATATGCAAAGACCTAAGGTGGGAAGTAGGGGGAAGGGATATGAAAGGCAGTCATAAACTGAAACATTAGGACCTATTAAAAGTTACATACAGTTGTTAAAAAAAAAAAAAAAAAATCAGTTCCTTACCATGTACAGGCAGACTCTTGGCTTTTCCTTCAGGCATTCTGTTTACATGGGCATCTGCCCAAGCTGATTTTGTTTCTCCTTTAGAGACATTCAGAACTGTTTGGGACTCTGTCACATGGAAATCTATCAAGCCAAAACAGGGCTAGGTAAGTTTTCTCGTTTTCCCTCCAGTGCATTTAAAACACACGGGATCAACCTCAAAGCAAATCAATCCCTTAATATGCATAATACCTGAGAATATAAATGGATCTTCTTAAAAACTGATTAAGGTGGTTGGGGGTTGAAAAACAATGCTCAAGCAAATAAATGATATAAGGACAGTCTGCACCCCACTGATTCACAGGGATGACTCAGCTATAACAATTAATCATATTGCTTAAATAAAAGGTAAGGAAATATTATATATTTATCTCTCTCAACCACCCCAATATTATGTCTATTTAAGAGACAGCTATTAAATGTATATAAAGGGAAGTAGATTTTCACCACATAGGTAATTTCTTTCCCTTGAACTTTCAAAGTATCCTTTCTCCAGATTTCTTTGCCAAATGTTAAGTCGGAAGACAAAGTGCTTCTTTTTTTTAAGGGGGTGGGGTAGGGACGTTTTGTGGAAGATTAAGTTTTAGTCAAAATACAATGATTTCCAGACCTCGAGAGTTCTCGGATTCAGGAGTCTGAGAGCCAGAACTACTGTATCCTTCCATGTCTTGTCTTCTTTGTTGAACCACTCCATCCAGATCTGAGAATTCATCATTGAAATCCTGAAGGGAAACAGTGAAATGAAGAGAAGCCAATTTTCCCTTGTTAAACAGGCAGGTTTTTGTAACCCCTAGCCTTAGACCTGCCCTATAAAATGCAGAAAAGAAAGGAGGACCACTCCATCCTACTGAGTTCTTCCAAATAGGTCACTGAGTACAGGAAAACCTGCAAAAGCTGGAACATGTGTAAGGTGGAAACCTGTCAGAGAAGGAACATTAAATATTTTCCACTAAAATGAGTGATAGAAAAGTGGTAAAACTGCACCCTGTCGAAGGTGGAAAACTTGCGAGACCCAGGAAAACAAGGTGGTCCTGTTGAGTTCAGGCTCTCACAGGTTTCACTGTATCTGGTTACTAAAAGTGAGATTTTTCTGGGCAGTTGAATTCTGTCAACAGTGGCCAACCTGTTTGAAACAACAAACGTCTAGAAAAAAACTGGAATGCTGGTGATTGAAACGCTTCGAGTGAAAAGCTAGAAACATTTCATTAGCACTTTCTAATGAGAAAAACTGGCTGCTGTAGACAATACTAGGACAAAGAGTGGATGTTTGGATATGTAGACAGAGAGAAAGCTATTCATAAATGATAGTTTAAAGAAAGTACTGAAAACAGAAGAGGGAAAATGGCTTTAGCAAAGTAGACCCTGAAAATTTTAGCCTTTTTCTTCCCCAACAAAATCAACAGGGTCCGTGCTATCACATCTAAATAATGGAAGGATGCTAGAGGAGTAAGGAAAAAGCAGATATTCTTCACTTTGTTTGCCACTGGTTCTCCCAAAGTGCTTAAGAACTAAAGACACAAAGCAATGTCATTAAAATGTCCTGGTGAAGGTACAATTAGACTGAACTTTTAACAATTTAGTTAGCTACCAAATGAAGAGACTCATCTTGTAAGCAAATTACTCACCTTTTCCCTTGAACTTGCTGACTTTTGGTCATCTCAATACTCATTTCAATTTCATTCAAGAATTTATAGGGGAAGGAAAATTGAAAAATTAAAGTCTCTTCAGTATAATAATGATTTATTGAATGCCTATCACATATCAGGAAGTATGTAAAGCTATTCACATACATTGTTGTTGTTGTTGCTGTGCTGTCAAGTCCGTTCCAATTCAGAGCGACCCTATGTACAACAAAACGAAACACTGTCTGGTCTGGCACCATCCTCACAATTGCTGTCATTGTTGCAGCCACTGTGTCAATCTATCATCTTGTTGAGGGTCTTCCTGTTTTTCACTGACCCTCTACTTTACCAAGCATGATGGCCTTCTCCAGGGACGGGTCCCTCCTGATAACGTGTCTAAAGCATGTGAGACGAAATCGCGCCATCCTTGCTTTCAAGGAGCATTCTGGCTGTACTTCTTCCAAGACAGATTTGTTCGTTCTTTTGGTAGTCCATGGTATATTCAATATTCTTCACCAACAACACAACTCAAAGGTGTCAATTCTTCTTCAGTCTTCCTTATTCATTGTCCAGCTTTCACATGTATATGAGGTGACTAAAAATACCATGACTTGGGTCAGGTGCACCTTAATCCTCAAAGTGACTTCTTTGATTTTTAATATTTACATACATTATTGCATATAATCCTCACAGCCACACCATGAGGTTGGCATTTTATGAAGAAACTGAGTCAGAGCAGTAAAGAGCTTACTCAATGACATAGCTCAGCTGGGTGGAGCTCAGATTTGAAACCAGGCTTGTTGGATTTCTAATCTGTCTTTTTTTAGCTATTCTATATTGGATGACTTCCCCACTCTTTTTTTTTAATGGTATATTTTTTTAATAGAAGTAAAATTCACCATTTTAACCATTTTAAAGTATATAATTCAGCCATTTTTAGTACATTCACAATGTTGTGCAGTCATCACTATCTAATTCCAGAAGATTTCCATAAGCTCCAAAAGAAACTCCATACCCATTAGCAGTTACTCTCCATCCCTTCCTTCTTCAGCCCCTGACAACCACTAATCTACTGTCTGCCTTTATGAATTTGCCTATTTGGGATATTCTATATAAATGGAATCACACAATATATGAATGTGGCCTTTTATGTCTGGCTTCTTTCACTTATCATAATGGTTTCAAGGTTCTTCCATGTTGTAGCATGTATCAGTATTTCATTCCTTTTTATGGACAAATAATATTCCATTGTATGGACATACCACATTTTGTTTGTCCATCTGTCAGTTGATAGACAGTAGGATTGTTTCCACTTTTGGGCTATTATGAATAGTGCTGCTGTATACATTCTTGTACAAGATTTTGTGTGAACATATGTTTTCAAACCGGTTACTTTTTTTTTTATAATTTATTTTTGTTGTTATTGAATCCCATTACTTTTTAACAACTCTTAAAAAAGATTTGTAGATGTTGAAACTAAGGGCTTATACTCCCTACCAAAGATATTTCAATATTTGGTAATAATCATTTTGATAATATAGCTAGGACTCTCTTGGGCAAACATTATAATATCATATGAATAAATCTTGTACAAACGGGGAGCTACTTCCCACTAGAGATTTATTCTACAGTTAACAAAGTGTAAGGGAATCAAAGAATCTCTCTACCTTTCACTTGGACATTATAGCTTTCTTCTTTTATCTTCTCTAGTGAGCTCTAAGTCTTTGAAGGCGAGAACTAGTTTTGATTTTTGCTGGTATTGTTACAGTGTACATTAGCATAGTGCCTTGAACGTGCCAGACATTCAATAATTTGTGAGATGAATCACGCCCTACCCCAAACGGATTTGTGAATCCCTCTAAAACAACACTGACAAGCAAACAGAGCAGGATGTTATGAACACCTTCAACGACCAATAATTCCCCAAGGCAGTCAAGTTTCTTCCACAGGACAAGCCTTCAATTACCTGAAAAACGCTTATGGCCTCCTATCATCCTCTCTTCTTCAGGACAGAAATGCCCTGTTCCTTCAACTATGTCTCAAATATCATAGTCCTATGGTCCTCCTCTGAAAAACAATTCCTAAGGGTCGCTATAAGTCAGAATTCGACTCGACAGCAATGGGCTTGGTTTTTTGGTTATGCTCCTCCCGCATCCTGGTCATGGTAGAAAGAGAAGTGAAATCGTAGGATATATTCCCTTTCTTTTGCATTTAGATAGCTATGCAGGCAACTTACCAGAGGCAGAGATGAAGGGCGGTCTGCCCGGAAACTGTTCTCAGCAGAAGACGGATTGGGGCTGTTACCAATGCTTGTATTCTGAAATCATAGGAATAAAATGAAAAAAAATCAGATCAACTACTAAATGACAAAAAATACAAAAGAGATACAGTAACTGAGGCTCAGAGATGTCATACTCACATCTAAGTGTCCACACACAGACTTCAGTAGTTTGTAAGTTGAATCTCTGGAGAGTAAGGAGACAAATATGTACTGAAAAACAAAACGGAATAACTATGTACAGATAATGCCTGCTGAGAGGTTAACGAGAAAAGAGTTCAGAGTTCAGAAAGGTATATGTCTATATTTTTTTATTTTCAAATGACAAAGGCCATTCTTTGATCTGTATTTTCATTTTTCTCACTGCAACGTTCAATTTCTATTCCATTCTTGGAATAAAGCAAATACCCCCCCACAATAGCAACGAAATCCCTGAACCCAATTTTAAGTAATAAAGAAGTGTAGGGCAAAATGAAGGCTGGTTATACTTGTTAGAGCCTCTTTAAAGTCTCTCCTCCTTCTTTTTATTTTTATTTTTTAAGGTATCTAACAATTCCTAGAAGTCCCTGGGTGGTGCAACTGGTTAACATGCTTGGCTGCCAACCAAAAGGTTGCAGGTTCTGGTCTACCCACTGGTGCCTCAAAAGAAAGGCCTGGTAATCTGAAAAATCAGCCATTTGAAAACCCTATGGAGCACAGTTCTACTGACAGACATGGGGTCACTATGAGTTGGAACTGACTCAAGGGCAACTGGAAAACAAACAAGCAAACAAATAATCACAGGAACAAAAAAACAATTCTTAAGAGTCTGCTTTCTCTGCTCTGACTTCAGATTTCCATCGAAAATTTCTCATCAGCTCTAACAGGCAACCTTTTCAAGCACTTCCAGATTCTTTCTTGCACAAAAATGGAGATTTTTCTAGTGGATGTTTACAAGAAACAGTAAAATCAGAGCTAGACAAGGAATTTGGAGATAAATGACATAAGGAAAAATGATTTTACCATACATAAGATTCACTTGTCTTAGGGAAGTTTGAAAAATATACCTTCAGAATATATAGAAACTCACTCTTTCTTGATCTAATTGAGGCATAGAAACTTTTCAGATCCCCTTTCCATTAGTTTGTCATTACCGCTCTCGTTCACCAATGAGAAAACTTGATGTAATTTCTAAGCAAGTATTGTATTTCAAAGTAGTTAACATTATGGGGTCTGGCGCTGGACTGAACTGGTTGCAAATTTTCACTTTGACACTGACTAACTTGGTGACGCTGGGCAAATTGCTTAACCACTCTTAGCTTCAGTTTTCTTAACAGTATCTATCCCTTATAGGATTGTCTTAGTCATCTAGTGCTGCTACAACAGAAATACCACAAGTGGATGGTTTTAATGAAGAGAAGTTTATTTCCTCATGGTCAAAGTAGGCTAAAAGTCCAAATTCAGGGCATCAGCTCCAGGGGAAGGCTTCCTCCTCTCTGTCAGCCTTCTTCTCTTCAGTTTCCCCCCAGACTAGGAGCTTCTCTGTGCAGGGACCCTGGGCCAAAGGATGCGCTCTGCTCCCGGCACTGCTTTTTTGATGGTATGAGGTCCCCCTGTCTCTCTGCTCACCTCTGTCCTTCATATCTCAAGAGATTGCCCTAGGACACAATCCAGTCTTGTAGATCCAGTCCTGCCTTACTAACACAAGTGCCACCCATCCTCCCTCATTAACATCATAGAGGTAGGATTTACAACATACAGGAAAACCACACAATACCAGGATTCATGGCCTGGCCAAATTAATACACATATTTTTGGGGGGACACAATTCAATCCATGACAAGGATGTAGAATAAATATGCGGAATAAATGTGAAAATAAAAGTAAAGTATTTAGCATAGTGCCTGACAAGGAGTAAGTACTCAATGCTTGTTAGCAAGTATTATTTTAAAGAAATCAATCACAAAATACATATTATACATACAATACACAAAATACATTCCTAGCTGATCAGAACAGCCTCTTTTTTTCCTTCCTTCTCCTTCCGTTTCACTCTAAGTTATCCACGTCTAACAAATATGCTTAGAAATGGAATGTAGCTTTTATGTTTTCATATAGTAGATAAAATATTTCTTAAAAAATCAAGAGAAAAACGAGCATCCAAACTACTCCACTCTCTGCTTCTCTCCTGCCAACCTGAAATAAACACCACTCTCAATGCAAATGTCTCTGGTTGGACATGTCTGGGGTAACCCAACAATCAATGACAGCTCCAAAATTTCTGTATAGAAGAGAGTAGTTAAGGCAGTCTGGTAGGAAAGAGGGGCTAGGAACCAGTGCTGAAGCTGCCACTGCCTGGGAAGCATAAGTTGTATCCACTTGGGATGGCTTTGGGGAGGTACTGGTTGAGGTTATGAGGGGGCTGAGCAGCCCACCCCCACCCCAAGGACTCCTAAGTGTCATCCTGCCTCACCCTGTCCACAAGGTTGTAGTTGCTCACTTTTGTTTTTAATATTAAAGAACTGAATAGGGAAAGGGAAGTTAGAAAAGAATAATCTTTTTGACCTTGGTCAAGCAATATGACTAAGTAATTGGTATAATTAAGACAGTAGGGAATTCAAAACTGACAGCAATTAATTCAAATAAATCACCTTGTGAGGGGAAACAACACTTTATAAATATCTAGAGATAGGTTTTTTTTTTTCTAAATTTCATTTATTTTGTTGTGGTTGAGAATATACACAGCAAAACATACACTGATTAAACAGTTTCTATACATACAATTTAGTGACATTGATTACATTTCTTTGAGTTGTACAACCATTCTCACCCTTTTTCTGAGCTGTTCCTCCTTCATTAACATAAACTCACTGCCCCCTAAGGTTCCTATCTAATCTTTCGATTTGCTGTTGTCAATTTGATCCCATATAGATAGTTCTAAAAGAGCATAATGCTCAAGGCAGACTTTTATATCAGTTAAGCTAAACTATTGCTCAGTTTTAAGATGACTTCAGGGGATATTTTTGGTGAAGGTTTAGAGTATCTCAGGGCCATAGTTTCAGGGGTTCATCCTCCCTCTACGGCTCCATAAAGTCTGGAGTCCATGAAAAGTTGAAATTCTGTTCTGCATTTTTCTCCTTTTGATCAGGATTCTTCTATGGAATCTTTGATCAAAATGTTTATTAACGGTAGCCAGGCCCCATCCAGTTCTTCTGGTCTCATGGCAAAGGAGGCAGTTATTCATGGAGGCAATTAGCCACACATTACATATCCTCCTCCTATTCCTGACTCTCCTTTTTCCTCTGTTGCTCCAGGTGAATAGAGACCAATTGTTGTACCTTAGATGGCTGCGTGTAAGCTTTTAAGACCCCAGGCACTATGCAAGGAACTATAAGGTAGAACAGAAGCCAAACTATTCCACTCTCTCCCTCCCAATTAACTGGGATGTCCCGTGAATAGAATATCTCCTGATTCACTATTGGGGATGATGGTGTTATTTGTGGTTTAGAGTCCTGGTCCCTGGCAAGAGGCCCCTGAAGCAATGGAGCACGGAGCAGGAGGACAAAGCCAAGGTGCCCTCGCTCTGCACATACTCACCCTGTCTGTGACTGTCGTTATAATCAGGGCATTTGGCACCAGAAGAGCAGTTTTGGTTTTCTTTATCAGGGTTACCGAGAAAGCTGGGATGGAGATCTGAAACAGAATCACCAAGTTCATACTGGGTCAGGCTTCAAAGAATGGCACTTTAAATCTTCACGTCACACTTTCAGTTAAAGAAAGATAGATAAATCAATCAATCAAAACCAGCAGCAAGCTCTAAGACTTAGAAAACGAAGTCTTAGAGAGTGGCATGGGGCATGTCAGTGAGCTCCTCAAACTGGTGTCTGCAAAGCCAGAGGATAAATCTGGATCATCAATTCTGCTGGAAGGACTTGGTGGGAAACCTTTATCTCCACACAGAGAGGAATGCAAAATTTACATTTCTTTTTAAAGCTAAGCCTAAGGTGCTAATTTGCCTCTTGTGGTCACCCAGTCTGTGCTAACCCAGGTAACTACGTGGGAACCCACTCTCCTCTGTCCTTAGGCACATATGGGTGTGGAAAACATTGAAAAGCACTGGTGTAGTAGAAAGATCATTGGACAGAAAGTCTGGGACCTGAATTCTCAGCTCAGTTCTGTTACTATCTACATGACCCATGACCCATTCAACCTTATAAGGTATCTTTTTTCTAGGCCTCAGTTTGCTGATTTGTAAAATAGAGTTAATCTTACCTACTTCCCATGTTTGTGAGGATTAAATGAGATATATGAAAAATGCCCACCACTCAATAAAAATTTCATTCATTTCTTTGTCTGTTTCATAAAATGAGGATGGGTGAAATAAATGAACTCTTAAGTTCTTTCCAGATTCAAACAATAAAGAAAAACAACAATGACAACTGTAGCAACTACCATCATTAATACCTATTTACCAGATGAGAATGTCATTTAATTATGACAATTCTATAAAGTAGGCATATAAGGAAATTTGTTTATAGAGATACATGACGTGCTCACGATCACACATATAAGAAGTTACAGATAGAATCTGAACCAACTGGATCCAAATGTGGGTTCTTTTCAATATAAAATATGCTAAAAGAATATATCAGATGCCACAAAGAGTAATAAATGTTCTTGACACTTATATATTATATCCCTCCAACAACGCTTAGTCACAAGAAAAAATAGATCACATCACTTCTATCCCTGAAGAGTCCATGGTCCCATGGTAAAAAGAAAATGATCTGGCTCCCTCCATGTCTATAGGTACACATACTCACTTGAACATTGTCTTAGTCATCTAGTGCCGCTCTAACAGAAATAAAAAGTGGATGGTTTTAACGAAGAGAAATTTATTTCCTCACAGTTAAAGTAGGCTAAAAATCCAAATTCAGGGTATCAACTCCAGGGGAAGGCTTTTTTTCTCTGTTGGCCTTCTTCTCCTTGATGTTCCCCCAGACTAGGAGCCTCTCTGCACAGGGACCCCGGTCCAAAGGACGTGCTCTGCTGCCGGCACTGCTTTCTTGATGCTATGAGGTCCCCCAATTCTCTGCTTGCTTCCCTTTCCTTTTATCTCTTGTAAGGTAAAAGGTGGTACAGGCCACACCCTAGGGAAACTCCCTTTACATTGGATCAGGGACATGACCTGGGTAAGGGTAGTGTTACAATCCCACCCTAATCCTCTTTAACATAAAATTACAATCACAAAATGGAGGCCAACCACGCAACTCTGGGAATCATGGCCCAGCCAAATTGACACACACATTTTTGGGAAGACATAATTCAAACCATGACAAACATATTTTGTAAAAATGTTTCACACATTCTGAAAGAGATCAACAACATCACTGAGGAGAGAAGGGCCTTATATGTTAGTACTGCCAGCTTCACAGAAGAAAAATAAGCTTTTAATGATGAGTATTTACATTCATATTTGGGCTTATGAGATGGGGTTATTCTACTGTCTCAAAGTTCTGGACAGGAATACTGTGGAAGAATGAGGCACTAATCTAAATTAGACATTTTTAAAAATTTACTTTGCCAAAGAACTATACCTACAAAAATTTTAAAGGGTGAGAGACAATTCAGAAGTTATAAATTGGGATAACTTTATTTTTTTCAATTGTACTTTAGATGAAGGTTTACAGAGCAAACAAGTTTCTCATTAAACAATTAATACACATACTGTTTTGTGACATTGGTTGCCAATCCCATGACATGTCAACACTCTCCCTTTCTTGATCCTGGGTTCTGCATTACCAGCTTTCCTGTCCCCTCTTGCCTTCTCATTCTAGCCCCTGGGCTAGTGTGCCCATTTAGTCTCGCTTTGTTTTATGGGCCTGTCTAATTTTTGGCTGAAGGGTGAACCTCAGGAGTGACTTCATTACTGAGATATAAGGGTGTCTGGGGGCCATACTCTCAGGGTTTCTCCAATCTACGTCAGACCAGTAAGTCTGATCTTTTTTTGTACGTTAGAATTTTGTTCTACGTTTTTCTCCAGCTCTGTCTGGGACTCTGTACTATGATCTGTGTCAGAGCAGTCGGTTGTGGTAGCTGGGCACCATCTAGTTGTGCTGGACTCAGTCTGGTGGAAGTTGTGGTAGTTGTGGTTCCTTAGTCCTTTGGACTAATCTTTCCCTGTGTCTTTGGTTTTCTTCATTCTCCCTTGCTCCCGAAGGGGTGAGACCAGTGGAGTATCTTAGATGGCCTTTCGCAAGCTTTTAAGACCCAGACGCTACTCACCAAAATAGAATGTAGAACATTTTCTTTATAAACTATGTTATGCCAATTGAGCTAGATGTTCCCTGAGACCATGGTCCCCAGAGCCTTCAGCCCCAAATCTGGTCCCTCAGGGAGTCTGGATGTGTCTTTGGTGCTAAGTGGGGATAACTTTGGAAAAAAGAATTTAAGACACACCAAGACAGAAGATGAAATAAAAATAAGTCTAATTTTGTTTCTGAGCAGAAACACAAACATGCAGTGACAAGGGGCTATAAATTAGGGTTTTTCATAATCTAAGGCATGGGACATCGTTAAGGAGTTTTCAATCAATTGCTTCATGAATGTAAGACTATAAGCAGATAACATTTGTGAAATAAAGCATAAATCACTTTTCAGTTTGAGCCTGGGTGGAATGTGATACATGCATGTTACTTTTGCTAACATTTGAAAATACCAACAGGCTGACTAAAAGATCTTGATTAAAGTTATACTTTATTAATATTTTTCTAGGGTGGGCTGCTCAGAAAATTCCTTTTCCTAGAGCAAATTGTTTGGGTGCCTTTAGTTCATATTGGATCATGTTGGAAACCAGGTCAGTTGGCAGTGAGGAAATACTGCAATAGATTTGAATTATAAATGTCCTAACTCCATCCTTAGATTTTCAATCTCCTCCTTCTGTAGATTACATATAAAAAATGAAAACAAACCAAACGTTGCCATCAATTCAATTCGGACTCATAGTGACCCTATACGGTAGAGTAGAACGCCCCATAGGGTTTCCAAGGAGCACCCAGTAGATTCGAACTGCCGAGCTTTTGGTTAGCAGCCAAGCTCCTCAACGCTGTGCCACATAGAGCATTTGTAAAAGTGATCCCAGTGTATCCATTCCTTTAAAACACCAGGATCTTCTTTTTGTCGGTTTTCAAGTAAAAGTAAGACTTTGAAACCACTGCTAAAATCATATTAGCTTGAAACTGTATTCACTGCCTTTGTGAATCCCGCTATGAGTCGGAATTGACTCAACGGCAACTGGTTAACAAAGACTAATTTCTTTGTTCACTAATGTCTTCAACCCCTGCTGCTTTAGTCAGAGCTGTAGGCTCTCTCTGAATCCCTGACAATCATCTTTATCACATTGAATTGGAGATCAATACTATACAACCATCCTCTCCACTCTTTGAACCAGTTCTTATAATTTAGAAATCTAGAAATGTGGTAGAATACTGTTTAACACTGCCTCGCATGACACTGATTCAGATAATACTGTTAATCAAAATAAGTTTATCTAAACATAACTCTATATAGAAAGAAATAATATAAAAATAGCATGCTTGACCTAAAGAATAGTGTGTTAGTCTGATTACTCAACACCAATAAAATAAAGCATTTCCATTATATTTGTTAAGTGGTCTTCTATAAGATTGCCAGTAGCTTAGGGAGAATATAGTGGCTCAGTGGCTAAAGTGCTCGGCTACTAACCGAAAGGTCAGCCGTTCAAACCCACTAGCTGGCTCCTCGGGTGAAAGATGTGGCAGCTTGCTTCTGTAAAGATTTACAGCTTTGGAAACCCTATGGGGCAGTTCTACTCTGTCCTATAGGGTTGCTATGAGTCAGAATAGACTCCATGGCAGTAGGTTTGGGCAACTCAAAACAAAAAGTTGTTAGTCAGCTACTTTATAAGTATCAAAATCGCTGATTCATAATCGGGAATCAGAATGATTGGAAATTCACTGAAGTCATGGGAACCCAAAAAGGTGTTTCTCTGACTCCTTATTCTGTGGCCTGAATGAATTGTGATGTGACATCACAGTTCAAAGGAAAAGAATGTCAGTGGGATGGAACCCTCTTTTCCCTTCTTACGCCACTATCTCAAGGTCCTCATTTTAGGAGGTGGTGCCTAAGGAAGATGTCAGTTCCTTCAGAAGCTTCTTAATGGCTTGGCATTTCATGGGCTTACCCCTCCCCCAAAGCTGCGTTTAATGAAAAGATGTCATATCAGAGTCTACTCGGGATTATGGGTGTGTGACTCTGAGACTAGGCCTTGAATGCTCCAACTCCTGCTCATTTTGTGCTGGTGATGGTACAAAGTGAGTACTAATAAGTAGCTTATTTATAGGCCTGTTTTCCTAGATGCCTCTTATGGTAACTGGTATGAATAAGGTATAAAAATTAACATTTCTTAAAAAAAGTGGTTTTGGTTTTAACATATATCTTTGAAACAAATTAGAGCATATTCTCCAGATGAACCGTACTGAATGTTCTTTTGTGATATTTGGGTAAAAAAAAAATAGAGTATGGTTGTGAAGAGGTATGTGTGTATGTGTACAAGGAAATGAGTAAGAAAGTGAATGTTTAGGGAAAGAGGGAAGTTAGTGTCATCTGGAGGCATTTAGAATCTGTAATATTTGGGACCACAACTCAGGAAACCTGGCATAAAAGTATAATAATGATGGAAATATTTATAAGTATCACTGAATTTCATTTATCAATAATATATTTTTAAAACAATATTCACAATATGCAATAAATTGCTTAGTTTTTTAAAATTATACCAACCTTAGTGTCTTTTCCAAAGACCTTTGAGTGAAAACAAATCCAGTTTTCTGATACAAAGAGCTTTCCTTGGTATAGTATTTCTTTCTGAAGAGCACAGGTAAAGCCTGGGAAAATATATATAGATATAACACCACTTAGAATTTCCATTAAAATAAAAATTTTACATACATATATTTTGGTGACTCAGAAATGGGAAGAGATAATACGCTATGACCTCTTTTTCAGTCATCTTTTGTGGTACAAGACAGCTAAGACTAGTTTGTTTTTTAATTCTAAATCTCATAAACTGTATTATGAAAATCAAAATGGAAAGGCCAAGCCTATCATTTCACAGGAGAGATCACGAATGGTGTTTTCAAAAATCTCCTCTCTTTAGGGAGGTGTGTCACCTGTGGGCTAACATTAGCACCCCGTCCCTTTCTTCTTGGGATTCTCCCTAATGGCACCTCTTGAAATAAGTTGTCTCAGTGGCGGAGGGGCAAGCCTTCCTGTTTGGAAATGATGGCAGGAATTAAGCATCTGTACACCAAGAGAGGAGCCCTGGTGGTGCAGTGGTTGAGAGCTGGGCTGCTAACCAAAAGGTCAGCAGTTTGAAACCACCAGCTGCTCCTTGGAAACCCAATGGGACAGTTCTATTCTGTCCTATAGGATCGCTACGAGTTGGAATCGACTCGATGGCCGTGGGTTTTTGGTTTGTTTCATACCACAAGAGGCTAGAATGAAACCTTGGCCTCTTGAAGAACCTCTGCAGAGCAGGGTAGGTGCTTAGCTGGCGTGCTGGTGAGGATGTTAGGTGTGAGCATCACACCCTGCATATTGCAGGAACCCAACACATGTCTGTCCACTTAGATTTTTGTTCTCTTTTAGCTTTCTTCTAGGTGGTGCAGTGGTTAAGTGCTTGGATGCTATCCAAAAGGTTGGTGGTTCAAACCCACCAGGCGCTTCATGGGAGAAAGAAGTGGCAGTCTGCTTCCATAAGGATTTCCAGCCTTGGAAACCCTGTTGGGCAGTTCTACTCTGTCCTATAGGGTCAATTATAAGTTGGAATTGACTTGACAGTAATGAGTTTGATTTGGTTTGGTAGTGATCTCTTGTGTCCCAGGATTGTTATCTTAAATCTCAGGACAATTCAATCACATGCATTTCGGCAGTGAATATGGAAGGCAAGGATATCATTCTGGAATCCCCTTAAATTATTCCATATCATGTGGAGCTTCTCATTCACAGCAGTTTCTCATTCTACTCTCTTAGCTGGGTGAGAGCTGAAGGAAACAGGCATTATTCTTACATCATGACTTTCAGGAACCTATTCCCCTTGATGACTCTATCCCCAGACCATACCCTCTCTCTCCCCCAAAACTAATTAGTATCTTTCAAATACTTAGCTTAAAATGTCAAACGGGTCAGAACTTACTTTGCGTCAGTGGTTCCTCAGCTGGGACTTCAAGAAACAACTTGTGAAAGTGCATATTTGCCTTGTACTACAACGAGAACAAAAGACAGGTATCACTGCTCTCACTTTTTTGTGAAACATGACAAATTTTCATTTCAATTTAAATGAAATAACAAATTTTCCCTCCCTTAATAGTATCTTCAGGCATTCCTTCTCTCTGACCTCAGAGTCTCTGACACAATCCTTCAGTGGAAAACGGTAGGAGGCAGGACACAAATTGTTTCATACTCCAGTAAGACCAGTGACTTGTTGGTTGGACTTGGGTTTATAATAACGACATAGCTGGTAGTCAGCTCTCTGCACAGAAACAGGGCTGAACAAGAATGTCCCTGATAAGAAACCAGATGAAATTCTAGGGAGTCTCACAAGGGAAGGTGGTAGATCCCAGGGCAATAAAGACAAAAGGGAGGCAGAAGAGTACAGTGGTTAAAGCTTTGTAGTCAGATAATTCTGAGTTTAAGCGTTGACTCTACCTCTTACTTAGTGTGTTATCATGGCCTAGCCACTTTAACCTCAGTTTCCTTTTTTTGTGCCAGTACTTGCGTCACAGGGATGCCGTAAGGCTTATAGGAGAGAATACATCTAAAGGACCTACTGCCTGGGACAATATATGGTAACTATTACTACTACTATTGTGAAGGCATTTCCTTAGCTAGCCTCAGGGGGAGGTGACCGTTAAGACAAGGATTTCTTACCAAAGACTTAACACTCCAGGGCAGTAAAAGGCCCAAGGGTCTGAAATGCTACAAATCACTTCATTTTCAAGGCATCTGTTTCCACACTGACAACAATGTATAGGTGGCAATTTACAATTTGTAAAAATGCTTTCACAAATGTCATCCTCACAATAACCCTGTGAACCTGATATCCCCATTCCAGGAATTAGGACACTGTGCTTCAGGGATATTGACTGTCTTAATCAGCACCACATAGCTATTAATCAGTAGAGCTGAGTCGTCCTTTTAAAGGACTTCTCTTCCTCATAGGATGCTTTTGATGGAAAAGTCTTATAAGGAAAAGACTTAAGATAGATAAGCACAGAGAAATAAGCACAAATATGCCCTTGATGTATTATTAGCTGAAGTATGAATAGTCTTAACAGAAAAACTGGCCTATTATTGCCATAAAAAAGCCACAGAGCAGGTCATCAAGATGATAGATGGTCCTCGGGAGTCAGCTATTTTACGGATAAACACCTTACACAGAGAGAGTTACCACATGCTGTTTCCTGCTGCACATTTTCACCCAGCAAGTTGCCTTCATTAAAGCTAAGTGTTCTAGGGGGGCTTTATTGAGATTTTGTTTTTAATGGCACAGTGAGCATTGGTTGCATACTTGATTTAAAAATATCCCAGGCCATAGACTCTTCAAAAGTATCAATGTAATAAAAGGTTAAACAAAAAAAAGTGAGAGGACTGATCTAAACTAAAACAGACCAAATAAATGCAGTATGACTCTTAACTGGATCCTGGAGAGGAAGAGAAACTATAAAGGACATTCATTACTGGGACAACTGTGGAAACTTGAATATACATTTTATAATATTTTTATATATTTAATATTTAGCTATATTTACTGTATGTGCCAACAGTCTCCCCCAACCCCTCTTAGGAGACACATATTCAAGTATTTAGGTGTGAAGTGTCAAAAAAAAAAAAAAAAAAAAATCTCCAGCTCAGTAAATGTGTCAGACTCTATGACACAGAACTCGGTTTTGTACCTCTCTGGGTATATTTTAGAGCAGAATCAAAATGACTTCAGGAGGAGAACGATGGCCCTGTTCACAGGTTTCCTTCCTCTGTATGCAGATGGGGAGCCTTCTTCTCAGGAAGGTGCCTTGTCAGACTATTTCATTTTAATGCAAGGATGTCACCCCTCTCCTCATCCTGCTAATTATTAGACAAGCACATTACTTTGGGTTGGTCCCTACTTTCGGGGTACTTGACAGAGTTAAGGGTCACAACCTGGAACTTATCGCCCCTCAATATGTGTTGAAAGGTCAGTTGTAAAATATAATATTGATGAAAGACTGACTGAAGGAACTTCAGCCTGTCCGTTCTAGATTCTCTCAAACTTACGCCTAGATTCAGTCTGACCAGTGGAAAGCTGTACACTTGAGTTCTTTCTTTCCACTGGCCTCAATCCTTCTGTCATTCTCTGAGACAGTACACATTCCATTCCCAAATTACCTGGCTGGAAGACGAAGACTTTTTCCTTTCAGTCTTGGAATCAGTTTTGCTCTCTGTTTTACAGTCATTCTTATCACCTGCTGAGGAGGAGGTACCATCAAAACCGGATTTTGACCTGGGGAAAGAAAATCCAGGGACTCTATAAGATGGATATTTTTATGCTACTTCATTAATATTTCTGAAATAAATCTTGATTATTATATCAGGCCACGAGAAAACTGGACATTCATTTTTCTCTTTTAGACATCAATGATTATTCCTAATATTCTAAGGGTAATTCACACAGCATGTGTCTTAGGGAGTTGGAATGATTTCAGCAGGCTGTCTCAAACTGCATAAATGGTAAATTATTGAAGTGAGAAATAATAACAGAGTTGTAAAAGTAATTATATCATTTCTAAAGTATTTTAATCAGTGTAAAGAGGAGTATTGGAGGCAAATTATTAAACAGAATTGCAGCTATAGCTCAATCAAAGAATAGTTTTGCTTCAGAATTCTATTAATATTTAACAAGTATTAATTGAGTAGGGCATTGTGTTAAATGCCTTGGGGCACACAAGACAGTCTCTATCTTCAAGGAGCCTGTACACAAATGAAACTTTTTTTTTAAAGGGCAGTACACGCTTTAGCAATGAAACAATGCCTATCATAGAAGTTAGGAGATGATATATAGACAATAAGTCCAGCAGGAGGTAAGAGAAGAGAAAGTAAACAGAACAATGTGGATTAAATACGTCGGGCCTTACAGAATGAGCAGAAACTGGGTATGAGGAAAAGAACGACAAAAAACATCACAGATTGAGGAAACAGAAGCAAAATCAGGGGAAAAAAAAAGAACACATTTTGAAGTCAAGTCTTCCTTTGTTTATTCAGGGTAGATGCCAGAGCTCCAGCATTTCCTACTAAGGTAATTCTAGCCCTAGTTCTCTATTTCAGTAGCTGAATGAATTTACACATACCTTCAAGCCTACAACTAAAAACAGTAATTTCAAAGCTGAATGCATGTATGATTTTTAGAGGTATGTAGATCCAGTTTTATCATATACCTATATGGCTGTTTTATTGTTCATTGGGGTGGAATGGCAATGAAATCCATGATGACATAATGTTATTCCTTAGAATGAGGCTTACTTAAAGAAATACTTGGTTCAAAGCAGATTTAAGAATCCTATGTAATTCAGGTAGTGTGACAGAGGAATAGGAATGACTGAAGCTTGGGAGACATTAGGCTTTGGTTTTCTCAGCTGTAAAATGATGGCCCATGTATCTCCTAGGACCCTTCCAGCCCCCACAGCTCCTGACTCCATGATGCTAAAGTCACTGATAAAATTCCTCATCAATTCAAGGTAAAAGGATCCAGCTACATGCCATTGCATCTATTCACAGGTATAAATTCCCTTAGAACTAATTCCAGGAATTAATTTTTTGGAAAATATGAGTAAATATCTGTACTCTGCTTAAAAATAAAATTATTTTTATAAATGTCAAATTACATATTATTTATACCATTCACTGATTTGAATTTATCCCCTGTACTGATTCAAGTTAATAAATGCAAATGGCACTGCTGAGGAAATGATCACACCTTTTGAAAAACCATGGGCTGTCTGCAAATGTGACAAGCAGGGAAGATCTATTCCTGATAATTTCCAAAGGCACAAGGAGTAAAGGGGCTTGTCTGCATAGCATTGTCCTCCGAGGGTGGGGTGCTTATCTCCATAGGTTTGATTTCTGTGGGTCTTCTCAATGTTCCTACAGGTGACTATAAGCAGGATCAGGAGCCCGGTGCAAAATGAAAATGCAGGTCCTCTTGTTAAAAAAATTATTAAGGATTTCAAGACAGTGACAGCAAAGCATTACACCAAGCACAGGGCCCTTCGCGACTGCACAGACCGCACCCCCATGAAGCTTACCGCGCACGACCTGATGAGGAGTGTGTTATTCTCATCAGAAGCTGGGTCTGGAGTAAAACCAACAGTGTTTTTAAAGCGCCTGCTGCAGCCAGTCAACAGTGGTGGAAGATACAAGAAATGACAGGCTTGGTGCCTTTGTGGAGAGAATCATTTAGCGAGTGAGGCAAGTGCCCTGACAGGACACAACTGCAGGAAAAACGGCTAAAAGTGAGATGCCACAAAATGGGCAGAAAAGATGGAGAGATAACTGGGAGTCATAGTCAGTAAAGGAAAGTTTTGGGGAAGAGGTAAAACTTACGCTTGGTCCTGAAGGAAGTATAGATTTGGAGAGAAGATATGGGCTGGGTAGCCGGGGAGGAAGTGAAAAGCAGGAGTTATTTAATCATCCCTTAGCAGAGGCCACAGGAAATAGAAGGCAGCAGTTCTAACAGTTCTAATAATGGGGGAAGGAGAGCAATCACTCCTCCACTTGATATAGATAAACCAAAGAAACCAAACCCGTTGCTGTCGAGTTGATTTTGACTCATAGCGACCCTATAGGACACAGCAGAACTACCCCATAGAGTTTCCAAGGAGCAGCTGATGGATTCAAACTGCTGACCTTTTGGTTAGCAGCTAAGCTCCTAACCACTGTGAAACTTTTAAGGCCTCTTTTAAGGTCTGAAAAACAACTTTAAGTCCCTCCTTCCCCCTTCCGAATGAAAGAAGGCATGTAATTAGTGCCTCTGAGAGTAAAAGGACTACAATTATACCCCCTCCCAAAGCCCCACACCCCCTCACAACCACATCAACCATCCCTCACTCCACCAGTCACAGGAAATAGGCAGGCAGCTACCAGAAGCTTATACACCCTCCCTGTGGATCCCCAGCAAGACGAGGGCCCGGCTTCTCCTTCACTCTTTCCAGTGGTTCCTAGGAAGGTGAGACGCCAGATGTGCACAGCTTCCAACCTGGGCAGGCCTCATTAGCAATCTGGCCAGCTAGGTGCTTTCTAAATCTCTGCCTGAGAGCAAGCCACTTGGTTTTATCAGGTAGCAAAATCAGTGCTTCACGAAAGAAAGGGGCAGAAGCTCCGGCAGAAGGCTGGGACAGGAAGGAGAAAAAGATGCTGCTAAGAAAAGATGCCAGACAATCTTTAAAACTTAAACCAAAATTATTCCCTGAATTCTTTTTAGAACTAAACAATAGTTTAGTTTAACTAGTAAAAAAATGTCTGCCTTGAGCGTTATGCTCTTTTAAGAACTGTCTATACGGGATCAAAGCAACAACAGCAACTCGAAAGATTAGATAGGAACCTTGGGGACAGTGAGAATGGTTGCACAACTCGAAGAATGTAATCAATGTCACTGAACTGTACATGTAGACACAGTTGAATTGGTATATGTTTTGCTGTGTATATTCTCAACAACAACAAAATAAAAAAAAAAAAAAAGAAGAAGCCAAAGGAAGTCAAAACTCTAACCCGTGTATATCAATGAAAAACTCTCCACTTCTTTCTCAGCGGGTTTATTTACCTATAGTAGCTCCTTAATCTTTTAACAACCATAGAGGTTACTCCCAGCAACCCCTCCTTCCAAAAAGGCAAACAAGAACAAAGAGACAACCTGAGGACTTACCGCAGGCAAAGGACTCTCTTCTGGTCCGGGGACTCGGCCTCACTGGACAGGGCGGGGGACTGGGCTGTTGGCAACCTGCAGATCTTCTTTTTCTCCTCCATGCCATTCTCAGCCTCTGAGCTGGAGAAGAGAGAAAAACGCTTCACCTTAGCCATCCAGAAGCGGGTGGAGGGAAAAATGACCTAACCTCGCTTTCAGGAGAGTGGAATGATCTTCACTCTCCACTGATGGGCTAAAGTCAACTTTGCCAGCTGAGCCCTTTCCAGATCCCCCATTTTAACTCCGCTGGGTCCTAGCCTTGAGGGCAATAGCTGCAGGGCAGGCTGCTTCACTTATAAATGTCCAACTGGGCCAGGACTTGCTCGGCTTCTCCGTGCTCCCAGCCACCATTCTGCACCAGTGGGCCTCACGCTGCCCAGCTCTCCCAGCTTTGCCCTGCCAAGCCGTGTAGTGGGTGGGCAGCAGATCACCTGGAGGCTGGGAGGGCCCCTGCGCATGCTCCTGTGCAGCCTCCTGCCAGGTGTGAGCCTTCCAGCTGGGAACTCCCTCGCCCTTTGTTTGCACTTCTCTTATGTCACCACCTTTTGCTGTCCTTATCTAGGTCCCACTTAAGGTTATTGTTATTTCTGGTCTGAATCCCTGATGAGAATTTGCATTTCCAAGAAGCTCCCAGGAAGTTATACATAGGTTACTACCTGTTTGGTATCTTTACCTCATAATGATCACAGGCAGGAAATGTTATTGTTCAGTTAAAGCTTTCTGGATGCTTTCTTACCATTTTTTCACAGCACATGAAAATTCCAGCTTACACTTAGACACCTATTGCAGTGTAAAAATCAAGACTAAGTATATCTGGCAAGGGTATTCAATTAATACCCTTATAAATGGCTGGGAGTCCCTGCGTGGTGGAAACAGTTAACACTGCTGCTAACCGAAACCCTAGAAGTTCAAGTCCACCCAGAGGGGCTTTGGAAGAAAGGCCTGGTGGTACACTTCCAAAAAATCTGCCATTGAAAACCCTATGGAGCACAGTTCTACTCCGACACACGTGGGGTTGCCATGAGTCAGAACTGACTTGAAGGCAAGTGGTTTTTATGAATGATTGATGCTCTCATATTGTGGTTAATACTTCTCTTTTCCTAAGCAGCTAAGTATCCGAAGACAGAAGCCTCATCTTCTGCTTTAGTAGTTCTTCTCAAAAGTACTTAAAGCACATGAGTAAATTTAAATTCAATAATTGAATTGTATTATGTAACAAAAGGTACATGGAAGGCCTTGAAATATTATTTGAAACACACTGCTTTGATTTGAATTAAAAATGACTTTATTTAAATTTAGCATCAAGTTTAATTTATGGACTCAGACTTTTAGCGCTATTAAGGGGCCTTAGGGCATATCTCTGCCTTTTCCCTTCACCCTTTCAAGACACACACATCACTCCTACACTTAAAAAATATCAGACAGAAATCTACTTTAGAGTTCCTTTTTAAGTAGGGAGACTAATTGTACATGGAACTTCAATAATCCATCTCAGTGTTCACTCAAATAGAGCCCTGGTGGCACAGTAGTTAAGAGCTATGGCTGCTAACCAAAAGGTTGGCAGTTCGAATCCACCAGCTGCTCCTTGGAAACCCTATGGGGGTAGTTCTACTCTGTCCTGTAGGGTCGCTAAGAGTTGGACTCGACTCGATGGTGACTTTTTTTTTTTTTTAATTCTGGGTCAGATTAAGATTTAGAGGCAAAGCCGTAGCTGTCCTACATAATACATAAACAGCCATCCTTTGTGTACATAAAAAAAAGCCACCCCTCCTGGGAACCAGTCAGAAAAAGGTATTCCTCTGCTTGGCTGTAGTCATACTGACACGCAGCCTGGCAGAGAAAAGCCATCCCTTGCTCTAGGCAGAAACAGTCTATTACCAAGCTGCAAAGGAAGCAAAACTCATCTGGATTTCAGCCCTTCCTTATTGGGTACTTTTGTGTGGAGTACTAAGTGCTTAACCACATGTGGTGGTCCTGCTCAGGAGTCCTAGCTTAGCAATGAAAAGATTATAATGCACACCTCTACATCAGCCCATGAAAACAATATCTTTAATGACAGAAAACACAGGTATGCTCCAGTTAGAATAACTTCTGTCTTGAGATTTGTTGTTACTCTTGGGTGCCGTCAAGTTGATTCCAATTCATAGCAACTACACGTGTTACAGAGTAAAGCTGCTCCATAGGGGTTTCTTGTCTGTAATCTTTAAGGGGGCAGATTGCCAGGTCTTTCTCCTGCAGAGCCGCTGGTGCGTTTGAACTGCCAGCCTTTCAGTTAGCGGCCAACTGCCTAACCACTGTACCACCAGGGCTCCTTGTCTAGAGATTTGCCACCCACTTTTCTTTAACCTTGTGCTTTGCCTTCAGCACTGCTTCTCTTCTGGAATGCCCAGCTCAGGGTTACATCCTCCACAAACCTTTGCATCCCAGGTGGTCTGTCTATGCTCGCTGAGGGCTTTACAACTCACTAGGCACCTAATCAGTTACTGCCTTGTTCTGTAAACTCCACTTCCTCCCCACATCTACTTATTCAACCATTATAACAAGTTCCTTAAAGTCACACAACTTCTGTTTTTTTCCACAGCACTCAGCTCAGTGTTTTGTTCATAGCGGTCGTTCATATGTGTTGATCAATTAAGGGATTAATTAGGTAGTGTCTCAAAAAGGAAATGAAATTTACCTATGGGCCAATTCAATTCTAGGTTTTGGTTTTCTTATCGATGCTACATACACTCAAGCAGGCTAATTCCTAACACGGGCAGGATTCTTCTTGCAAGCACCGTTTACTTCTACAGTCTTGTCAGCCAGAGACTGAAACTGTGTAGATCCAAACAGCAGAGAGGTGTCTGCGTTTTAGCAAGCAGAGCATGGGAGGTGAAACGGAATGCTTCCTCAAGGCCTCTCAGTAACTTTAAAGTTACTGTCGATGAAACTGAACTCTCCCTGGCAAGGGAGACTAAATAATACAGGTTTCATTTAAACAGGGAAAATAAGGAAACCAGATTTTTTTTTTTTTTTAAACAAGAAGACAAAGCCTTATCTTCCTATTTCAACAAATGTTTATTGAAACAGTGCCTCCCCACAGGATGCTCAGAGCCTGGTGGGTGAGACAGGTAAGGGAGCTGCCCACAGTTATTAAATGCCATAGAAGCATAAGAGAAGGCTATGATCAGAGAGGATCAACCTTCACTTGGCCTGAGCAGGTTATTTCTTTTCCTATCTCCAGTCCAGCGTACGCATCAATTATAGGCTCTGCACGCTTCTCGGTAGGAATTTCAGAGCTGTGAGAGAGACAGTCAGGCTTGTGCCAACTAAGCCTGACTTCACCTATTAGGGGACAGCAATTTTATTACCAGCTAGCGAGTGCTGGTTTTAATAAAGCACTGCCACCTGCCATACACTGTTACACAATCGATTAAAAAAAAACAAACACGGTGGACAATCCCCAACAGTCTAATATTTGTCACTTCCCAGACCTCATTAGTCTGATGGAGACTGGGTTTGGATTTTATAATTTTTCAGAATTAGAACTCGTTCATGGAGTTAACTATCATACCCCTCGTGACGGCCTTTGTAAAGGCAGAGTTGAAGGTGAATTCAACACTCGTTTCTCTCATCCCATCAATCTCCCAGGCCCTTTGCCCTTCCTGTGTAATGTACTTGGGCATGGTCACATGCCAGTCAAGGTAAATAAGCAGTTACCTGGGCAGAAGTTAGATTAAGCTGCATCTCAGGTGAATAAAAACACATGCCTCATTTGCAGTTCAGGCCAGGATGCTGTGTTTCTTAATTATAGTCCCTTGTGTTTAAGTCTACCTTCAAGTTACATTAGTCTAAGCTAAGGCATAAAAATGTCACTAATCCTCTTATGGTACTGGGGGTAGTTTTATCTATCATTTTAAAGGAGTCCCTGGGTGATGCAAATGGTTGATGCAGTCAGCTGCTAACCGAAAGGATGGAGGTTTAAGTCCATCCAGCAATGCCTCAGAAGAAAGGCCTGGCAATCTACTTTTGAAAAATTAACCATTGAAAACGCTATGGAGCACAGTTCTGCCCTGACACACATGGGGTAGAATCCACTTGATGGCAACAACTGATAACTGTTATCATTTAAAAAAAAAAAAACTGATCATCATTTTCTAAAACCACAGCCTTGGTGAACAAAGGTTTAGAAGTGACTTGAAGATACATTTCATCAAAGGATCGCCATAGGATAAATCCCTGGAAATGAGATTGCTGTGGTCAAAGGCCAGCTCTGTGAGAGAGAAGTGTTGCCTAAAGCTTTGTCCTTAAACCTAGGCTGTATCTCAACTAGCCAAGACATTTTTTTTTTTGTGTGTGTGTGTGTGTGCCACCTGTTTAGTGGCTCCATGGCTAGCAGGCAAGGGCTGCAATGCTTGGGAAGCAAAGAGTTGGGCTATAGAACATGGTGTCGGGGACTCCTGCACAGCAGCCAGAGTACAAATAAGAGAGATGTCATAGTAACTGAAGGAAGTAGAAGTGGATGCAGAAGGTGCAGGAGTTGGTGATGGGGACAAGGACTGCTGGGAGATCCCTTAGCTTCTTCAATTTCATAAACTCTGATTTTTCCAAACTAGATTTTTAGGTCAAGAAAAAGAACCTTCCAGGTACAATTCTGATAATAGAGTATGTTCATCTGGAAAGTTTAAATTTTGTTTATTTATTTATATATCAAATTATTTATTTCTGATAGATAGTATAAGCACAAGTCCAATCCAAAAGTTACAAACAGAAGAATAAATCTCCCTTCCACCCGTTTCATGGTGGCCAAATTTCTCTCCACAGAGGCAACTGCAGCTCCTGGCAGCTTGTTTCTTTACAGGGAGAGCCTGCACATGTGTGTGTGTGTGTGTGTGTTTTAAAGTACAAGCAACAGTATGCTACTCTACACCTTACCTTTTGTTTTGGTGCTCTTGCCTATCAGTAAATGCAGAGCTTCCTCATTCTTTTTAATGACTGCATGGAGTTCTATGACAATGGATGGGCCATAGTTGAACCAGTTCCTTATTGATGGGCATTGAAGCGGACTTCAGTCTTTTGCAAATACAAACAACACTGCAATA